AGAGAGCTCACCTTGAGCAAGAGAGCTTACCATGAGCAAGAGAGCTCACCTTGAGCAAGAGAGCTTACCATGAGCAAGAGAGCTCACCTTGAGCAAGAGAGCTTACCATGAGCAAGAGAGCTCACCTTGAGCAAGAGAGCTTACCATGAGCAAGAGAGCTCACCTTGAGCAAGAGAGCTCACCTTGAGCAAGAGAGCTCACCTTGAGCAAGAGAGCTTACCATGAGCAAGAGAGCTCACCTTGAGCAAGAGAGCTCACCTTGAGCAAGAGAGCTCACCTTGAGCAAAGAGAGCTCTCCTTGGGCAAGAACTAGTGCAGGGGGTCAGACATGGTGGTGCGCCAGAGCCATGCCCGTAGCAACCAAGAGGGGGCTATAAGGAGGGAACCCACCATGAGTAGGGGGAACGCACCTGCAGCAGTACTGGTGCAAGGGGTCGGACATGGTGGTGCGCCAGAGCCGTGGCAGTGACAAGTTGGGACAGTAGGCACCCACCAGGTGATATGGGAACGCACCTTGAGCAGGTACTGGTGCAGGGAGGTCGTTTTTGAGGCGCCTCAAAAACGACCCACCAGGTGATATGGGAACGCACCTTGAGCAGGTACTGGTGCAGGGAGGTTGTTTTTGAGGCGCCTCAAAAACGACCCACCAGGTGATATGGGAACGCACCTTGAGCAGGTACTGGTGCAGGGAGGTCGTTTTTGAGGCGCCTCAAAAACGACCCACCAGGTGATATGGGAACGCACCTTGAGCAGGTACTGGTGCAGGGAGGTCGTTTTTGAGGCGCCTCAAAAACGACCCACCAGGTGATATGGGAACACATCTTGAGCAGGTACTGGTGCAGGGGGTTGGACATGGCGGTGTGCCAGAGCCATGGCAGCAGCATTTGACACAGGCACCGCAGCAGCAGTGGAGGTAGCAGGCTAGCAGCAGATGGGACGAGAACACACGTTGAGCAGGTACTGGTGCAGGGGGTTGGACATGGAAGTGCGCCTGTTTTTTAGTCGACTCAAAACCGACTCATCTGGTGCAGGGGGTTGGAACTTGGACATGGTGGTGTGCCAGAGCCATGGCAGTAGCAAGGAGTGAGGAAAGATAAGATGGAACCCACCAGCTTCAAGGAACCCACCTTGAGCAGTATTGATGCAGGGGGTCGGTCGGTTGGACATGGTGGTGTGCCATAGCCGTGCCAGCACAGCAAGTAGGGAAGGTAGGCACGCCGCACCCACCAGATGGGGAGGGAAGGAAACTCACTTTGAGCAGGTATTGATGCAGGGGTCGGACATGGTAGTGCGCCACAGCAAGCAGCCGCCCACAGCAGCTCATCGTGAAAGTCAGGCGAGGAGGATGGGGGTGGCTCGTAGGGGAGAGTTCCTGGTAGGGCCGTGCTGGTGGGGGTTGCACGAACAAGGGAGAAGAGAGCATCCAGCTCACAAGGGTCGTTTTTGAGGCGCCTAAAAAACGAGAAGAGAGCAACCCGCTCACAAGGGCATGAGCCGACTTTTGAGTCGACTCAAAAGTCACCTCGTTGCACGAACAAGGGAGAAGAGAGCAACCCCTCACAAGGGCATGAGCCGACTTTTGAGCGACTCAAAAGTCACCTCGTTGCACGAACAAGGGAGAAGAGAGCAACCCGCTCACAAGGGCATGAGCCGACATTTGAGTCGACTCAAAAGTCACCTCGTTGCACGAACAAGGGAGAAGAGAGCAACCCGCTCACAAGGGCATGAGCCGATTTTTGAGTCGACTCAAAAGTCACCTCGTTGCACGAACAAGGGAGAAGAGAGCAACCCGCTCACAAGGGCATGAGCCGACTTTTGAGTCGACTCAAAAGTCACCTCGTTGCACGAACAAGGGAGAAGAGAGCAACCCGCTCACAAGGGCATGAGCCGACTTTTGAGTCGACTCAAAGTCACCTCGTTGCACGAACAAGGGAGAAGAGAGCAACCCGCTCACAAGGGCATGAGCCGACTTTTGAGTCGACTCAAAAGTCACCTCGTTGCACGAACAAGGGAGAAGAGAGCAACCCGCTCACAAGGGCATGAGCCGACTTTTGAGTCGACTCAAAAGTCACCTCGTTGCACGAACAAGGGAGAAGAGAGCAACCCGCTCACAAGGGCATGAGCCGACTTTTGAGTCGACTCAAAAGTCACCTCGTTGCACGAACAAGGGAGAAGAGAGCAACCCGCTCACAAGGGCATGAGCCGACTTTTGAGTCGACTCAAAAGTCACCTCGTTGCACGAACAAGGGAGAAGAGAGCAACCCGCTCACAAGGGCATGAGCCGACTTTTGAGTCGACTCAAAAGTCACCTCGTTGCACGAACAAGGGAGAAGAGAGCAACCAGCTCACAAGGGCATGAGCTTTGGCAAGGGGTGTGAGCAAGCCCTGACCTGAGCAATGGTATGAGCCCTGAGCAAGGGTAGAGAGGCAGAGAGGTAGGCAGAAGAAAAGCTCACTCGTCAGTAGGGGTGGAGGTGGGGGTGGAGGTGGGGGTGGAGGTGGGGGTGGAGGTGGGGGTGGTGCACACGGCATGATGGCACGGTGAATGGCGAGAAAAAACGAGGGTGAAGGTCGTGTGGTGGCTAGGGTGACGAGCATGGTGGCGTAATGCATGGCGGGTGGGAGCAATGGGGCACTGTAGAGGGCGGAAGGGGAGAGAGGCAGAGAGGCAGGGAGGCAGAGAGGCAGGGAGGCAGAGAGGCAGGGAGGCAGAGAGGCAGGGAGGCAAAGAGGCAGAGAGGCAGGGAGGCAGAGAGGCAGAGAGGCAGAGAGGCAGAGAGGCAGAGAGGCAGAGAGGCAGAGAGGCAGAGAGGCAGGGAGGCAGAGAGGCAGAGAGGCAGAGAGGCAGAGAGGCAGAGAGGCAGAGAGGCAGAGAGGCAGAGAGGCAGAGAGGCAGAGAGGCAGAGAGGCAGAGAGGCAGCGAGGCAGCGAGGCAGAGAGGCAGAGAGGCAGAGAGGCAGAGAGGCAGCGAGGCAGCGAGGCAGCGAGGCAGAGAGGCAGCGAGGCAGCGAGGCAGCGAGGCAGAGAGGCAGCGAGGCAGCGAGGCAGCGAGGCGGCGAGGCGGCGAGGCAGCGAGGCAGAGAGGCAGAGAGGCAGCGAGGCAGCGAGGCAGCGAGGCAGCGAGGCAGCGAGGCAGCGAGGCAGCGAGGCAGAGAGGCAGAGAGGCAGAGAGGCAGCGAGGCAGCGAGGCAGCGAGGCAGAGAGGCAGCGAGGCAGCGAGGCAGAGAGGCAGAGAGGCAGAGAGGCAGAGAGGCAGAGAGGCAGAGAGGCAGAGAGGCAGCGAGGCAGCGAGGCAGCGAGGCAGAGAGGCAGCGAGGTAGCGAGGCAGAGAGGCAGAGAGGCAGCAAGGCAGAGAGGCAGAGAGGAAGAGAGGCAGGGAGGCAGGGAGGCAGAGAGGCAGAGAGGCAGAGAGGCAGAGAGGCAGAGGGGCAGAGAGGCAGAGAGGCAGAGAGGCAGGGAGGCAGAGAGGCAGAGAGACAGAGAGGCAGCGAGGCAGCGAGGCAGAGAGGCAGCGAGGCAGAGAGGCAGCGAGGCAGCGAGGCAGAGAGGCAGAGAGGCAGAGAGGCAGAGAGGCAGAGAGGCAGAGAGGCAGAGAGGCAGAGAGGCAGAGAGGCAGCGAGGCAGCGAGGCAGCGAGGCAGCGAGGCAGCGAGGCAGCGAGGCAGAGAGGCAGAGAGGCAGAGCGGCAGAGAGGCAGAGAGGCAGAGAGGCAGCGAGGCAGCGAGGCAGCGAGGCAGAGAGGCAGAGAGGCAGAGAGGCAGAGAGGCAGAGAGGCAGCGAGGCAGCGAGGCAGCGAGGCAGAGAGGCAGCGAGGCAGCGAGGCAGCGAGGCAGAGAGGCAGCGAGGCAGCGAGGCAGCGAGGCAGAGAGGCAGCGAGGCAGCGAGGCAGCGAGGCAGCGAGGCAGCGAGGCAGCGAGGCAGAGAGGCAGAGAGGCAGAGAGGCAGAGAGGCAGAGAGACAGCGAGGCAGCGAGGCAGAGAGGCAGAGAGGCAGAGAGGCAGAGAGGCAGAGAGGCAGCTCGGCAGCGAGGCAGAGAGGCAGAGAGGCAGAGAGGCAGAGAGGCAGAGAGGCAGAGAGGCAGAGAGGCAGAGAGGCAGAGAGGCAGAGAGGCAGAGAGGCAGAGAGGCAGAGAGGCAGAGAGGCAGAGAGGCAGCGAGGCAGAGAGGCAGAGAGGCAGAGAGGCAGAGAGGCAGAGAGGCAGAGAGGCAGAGGCAGAGAGGCAGAGAGGCAGAGGGCAGAGAGGCAGAGAGGCAGCGAGGCAGCGAGGCAGAGAGGCAGCGAGGCAGCGAGGCAGCGAGGCAGAGAGGCAGAGAGGCAGAGAGGCAGAGAGGCAGAGAGGCAGCGAGGCAGCTCCCACATTCGTGGAGATGGTTTTTAAGTCGACTTAAAAATCGGCTCATCACATATTCGTGGAGATGGTTTTTAAGTCGACTTAAAAATCGACTCATCACACATTCGTGGAGATGGCGTGGCGGTGGTGGAGAGTTCAAAGAGCATGGTGGCGTGGTGCATAGCGAGAGGGAACGGGGGCGCAATGGAGAGGCAGAGCGGCAGGCAGAGGGACAGAGATAGGGGCAGCTCGCTCACTCATCCGTGGAGGTGGCGGTGGTGGCGAGTTCAAAGAGCATGGTGGAGATGGTGAGTGGCAAGGGACAGGCAGAGAAGAGAGGCAGGCGGAGGGGCAGGCAGGGGGGCAGGCAAAGGGGAAGCCGCTCACTCACTCATCGGTGGAGGTGGCGGTGGTGGCGAGTTCAAAGAGCATGGTAGCGTGGTCCCTCAGCGAGGCGGCGTATCCGGGGTCAAACTCGCCGAACACATGCGAGGCTGGTTCGGAAGGAGGGGAGTGTGAAGAACGGAAGTTGGGGCATAGAGGGGGAGAGTAGCAGGAGTTGGGAATGGTGGCGTGGTCCTGCAGCAAGGCAGCATATCCGGGTTTAACTCGCCGAGTACGTGTGCGGATGGGGTGTTGGTGCGGAGAAGGGGGCGAGGGGCGGAAGTGGGGGTCACAAAAGGGGAAAGAAGCGGGAGTAGGGAAAGGGGGGGCGTTCCGTCGCCCCGCAGCAAGGCAGCATATCCGGGGTTTAACTCCTAAGTGTGGGGAGCGGAAGTGTGGGGAGTGCCCTCTGTGTGTGGTTCCACAGCAAGTAGGGCGCATGCGGCCAAGGCAACTCGTGATTCTCATCTCACCAGCAGTAGCCAAGGGGTCAGTGGTGTCGCTGCCCATGGCCCCTCTACCCCCCAAAGCAGGCATACTGCACGCTGCAGCACCTCAAGCCCGCACTCACGGATAGACTCATTCTGGGACTTTACATCGCACACACTATCTCACCTCACCCACAACCCAAGGCATCTCACCTGCAGCAAAGGCAGCCGACATGTCAGCCAGAACCGCCGCCCCCGGCCCGTTCGCGCCCACCACCGTGTACACCGGCCGGGCGGCAGAGTCGTCTTCTGGCCGCTGCCAGCACGAGTCCTGGGCGGCAGAGTCACCCACTTGCGCCACGACACAGCCCCGGCCCAAATCCGCCATGAGCAACCAATCCACTCCCCATTTGAGTAGGTCCACTGCCCGCTGCTTCACCCAGATGACTCGAGCTCGGGACTGGAAAGGGGAAGGGGTGGGGAAATGGGAAATTGTTGAGGTCGGGTTGACCTACAACACAGCCGCGGCCCGGGTCCGCCCTTTCATGGTTTGCCATGAGCAGCCAGTCCACGCCCCATTTGAGTAGGTCCACTGCCCGCTGCTTCAACCCAGATGACTCGAGCTCGGGTCTAGAAGGGTGTACGAGAAGAATGGGGAAGCAAAGTGGAGACGTGAGCCACGACATAGCCCCGGCCCAGGTCCACCCTGAAAAGCCAATCCACTCCCCATTTGACTGCTCAGGCGAGACGGAATCCACGGAGCTCCTGCGGGATCCCCCGTCCTTGGAATCGAAGGAGAAGGTCGAATCCGCTGAGCCCTTTCGGACGGCGAGCCGCCGAGTGAGGGCACGGGATGGCGCCTTGGAATCGAACGAGATGGTTGAGTCCATGAGGCCCTTCCGTGAGCCGCTTGGAGAGGGGGGGTTGGACGCGACAGGGAAGCTCTTCGGGTCGAAAGGAGTTGGAGGAAGGGGCTTCTGAGGAGGGTCCCCCTTGACCTTGCCGAGGGCGCGGCGCGGCGCCGCTGAGACTCCAGCGAGGCTCAGAGTCGCGGCGAGGACGAGGGCGAGCAGGAAGAGCGAGCGAAGCGCACCCATGGCTGGCGTTTCTTACTGAAAGAAGCCTGAATAGGAAATAAGAATCAGATCGCTGGGATGGCTGACGGTAGTTTCAGAGGCTTCTGGGAATATATTCCAAGGCGCTGGGATGGGCTGCTACTACTAGTTCTAGTTGAATGAGGCCCGAATGATGATGATCTGCTTAGCTAGAGCGGAATTTTATACCACGAAGCATCGCGCCATACGGGCAGGCCAGTTTCGGTCTGCTGTCGTATTGCGTTTCGTGGCGCATCGGTTTACTGCTGAGCCTAGAAGCGTCGGATGCGGCGCCGATGGTGGGGAGTTTTGGTGATGGTGATGCTGAAAAATTATATAAAAGGCAATAATGACGGGCCCCGAATGTGTGCGCGAGGCTGGTTGCTTCCAGCCGGTTGCATCGAGCTCGGCACTGGAAGGGGGGACGGGGACCACGGAAGGAGAAGGGCAGAGGAGGGCGGGATATGGTGGACTCGAGATATGGTGGACTCAAGATATGGTGACTCGAGATATGGTGGACTCGAGATATGGTGGACTCGAGATATGGTGGACTCGAGATATGTGGACTCGAGATATGGTGGACTCGAGATATGGTGGACTCGAGATATGGTGGACTCGAGATATGGTGGACTCGATATATGGTGGACTCGAGATAGGTGGACTCGAGATATGGTGGACTCGAGATATGGTGGACTCGAGATATGGTGGACTCGAGATATGGTGGACTCGAGATATGGTGGACTCGAGATATGGTGGGACTCGAGATATGGGGGACTCGAGATATGGTGGACTCGAGATATGGTGGACTCAGATATGGTGGACTCGAGATATGGTGGACTCGAGATATGGTGGACTCGATATATGGTGGACTCGAGATATGGTGGACTCGAGATATGGTTGGACTCGAGATATGGTGGACTCGAGATATGGTGGACTCGAGATAGGTGGACTCGAGATATGTGGACTCGAGATATGGTGGACATCGAGATATGGTGGACTCGAGATATGGTGGACTCGAGATATGGTGGACTCGAGATATGGTGGACTCGAGATATGGTGGACTCGAGATATGGTGGACTCGAGATATGGTGGACTCGAGATATGGTGGACCTCGAGATATGGTGGACTCGAGATATGGTGGACTCGAGGATATGGTGGACTCGAGATATGGTGGGACTCGAGATATGGTGGACTCGAGATATGGTGGACTCGAGATATGGTGGACTCGAGATATGGTGGACTCGAGATATGGTGGACTCGAGATATGGTGGACTCGAGATATGGTGGACTCGAGATATGGTGGACTCGAGATATGGTGGACTCGAGATATGGTGGACTCGAGATATGGTGGACTCGAGATATGGTGGACTCGAGATATGGTGGACTCGAGATATGGTGGACTAGAGATATGGTGGACTCGAGATATGGTGGACTCGAGATATGGTGGACTCGAGATATGGTGGACTCGGGATATGGTGGACTCGGGATATGGTGGACTCGAGAGCTTAGCCCTGACATTTGAGTCGACTCGAAAGAATTGAAGAGGAAATCATTTGGTCCTTGGTTTTGGTGACTGGTTATTTATCCTCCCCTCTGCTCGTGGGCTCTTCAGCTAGCCCACTGTGGTTATGCATACCTCACCTACCATACCATACCACACCATACCATACCATACCGTACTGTAATGTACCGTACCATACCGTATCATACATCCACCCATATTCGTTTACAAGAACTCATCCATACCCCACATAAGCGCTCAGCCATATCCCACATAACCACTCACCCGTACCCCATAAAGGCACTCACGTCGAACTCGACAATGCTCCAAGCCAGCATGCTCATAGCGAATGCAGTCAGCCCCGTCTGCTTCACTCCCCCCCCATCCACATAGTACACCCCCTGCGAGATCTCGCCCCACGGCGCTCCCATCCTGCAGATGAGAGCTGTTGCGCCAGGGGGGGTGGGGGGTGCTGTGGCAAGGGAGGAAGCGGGGGAGGCGAAGGGGCGAAAAGAGCAAGGGAGAGGAAGGAAATGTAAGGAGCCCTGTGTGCTTCACTCCCCCCCCATCCCCATAGTACCCCCCTGCCAGGTCTCGACCCACTGCGCTCCCATCCTTCACATGCGAGCTGTTGCGCCAGGCTGGGTGGGAGGTGCTGAAGGAACCGAAGAAGGAGAGAGGGGGGCGGGTGAGGCGGGGCGCGGGGGAACAGGAGCGGGGTAAGCAAGGATATTGAGTAGGGGTGGGGGGACAGGGAATGGAGGGAAGTGGAAGGTGGCTGTGTGCGGAGGGGCGCCGTTCTGATGCGCGCCAAAGAAATCAAAAGTAGATTAAGGTTGATATAAGGTTGATTGAAGCGTTTTATGAGGCACCTCAAAGGTCTCCCCTGGCACAAGGTTGATTGAAGCGGTTTAAACTTAAGATGGTCAAGCTTTTGACGCCGTTGAAGTCTACTGAGCCGTCTCTCAACACTCAGCAGGCAAGCACTCACAGCGCCAGGTCGCCGCTCTTGGGAGCATCCAAGCGGTCAAAGCATTCGCAGCAGCACTCACAACGCCCAACACTCAGCAGCAACACTCACAGCGCCAGGTCACCGCTCTTCTGCGCGTCGAAGAAATCGAGGCACAGGTTCAAAGCCGCCTTGTAGGTCGTGCAGCGGCGGATCCGGCGGTGGAGCCTGACCGTTTCCCCCCGTGCTCCCCGCGCTCCCCGAGCCGCCGCTAGTCGCGCCGCCATCATTCGCGCTCGCGTCGACCCGCTTCCCCTCCGCCTGCATCGCCGCATCTCCCGCCGCAGGAGCCGCTGGTCTGAAGCCCCACATGGCGATTAGGACAGCGAGGAGGACTAAGAGACAGACGAAAATTGTTAGGCCTATTAGACAGGCTTTGTCGGCGGCTCCGGGGGATTTGCCCTGGTATTGTTACCGAAATGGGGACTCCTCGTCGTCCCGGTCTCGACGGATTAGGCTGGTTTGCGGAAAGGCCGGCGAGGGTTCCTCGTCTTCTACGTATTCCGACGGCATGTGAACGCTTAGAGGCTTCATTGTGGAGGCAGCCGTCGGAATAATAATTGTAACAATAGTTATTGAAATGTATGTTTCGTAGTAGTACGGGATTATGAAATGTAGTGTAAATGCTTCAACGATTCGCAACGATATAATGTGCGGAATGCGAGCATGAGAAGGTGCACGATTGAGCTTTTGGAGTGTTTCGTCGACGAAAGAACCGGTTTCACGAAGCAGGTGAAGACATTTCGCCACAAACACGAGGTGGTGAATGTGCGTCCCGCGCTAACTATATGTTTTATGTGTAAATACCTGACGGTACTTTTTACCTCCGGTTCTCCTGGATTAACACACGAGACATGTCCTGAAGGATTCTGCACAGCGTCTCTCACGAGACATGATGCCGAATAACAATAAGACAGTCCTGTATTGTTCTGTGCATGCTAGCTAGGCTGTGGCTGCTGCGCGTTTTTGGGATTGGTCTGGGTTTGGGTTGGTGGTGCGGTGACGTGATGTGACAGGACAGGTCGTATGTCTTCTGTGCGTTCTTTACGGTCTGATTCGTTCTGTCACGGTGCCAAGCGGTATAATTTGAAGAATGCTTTCCACCATGTAGAACCGTCCTGAGCCACGAACCACGAAATCTGAATCTATGAACCACCCCCCCCCCCCCCCCCCCCCCCCCCTCCCCCCACCCCCTTTTCTCTGGAGTGTGTTTGATTCGAGTGGAAGTGTGAGATGGTGACCACGCGAAGTGGTGGTGAGTGTGTGGTGGTCAGGTGTGGTCAGTGGTCACTTGGTTGGAGACCCCAGCAGTTTGAGCCGGCAGCCTGCTGAACTGGCAAGCAACCAATAAACTGTGCTCGATATAGGTAAACGGTGCCCAACCACTCTTCCATACACACCGTACGGTTGCGATATTTGCCAACTGTCCATTTTTTCTAGGGATGATCGTATGAAACATTACTTCCCTTGATCTCAAACTTGTATCGAAACACTCTGTGAAGTGGTTGATCAGCTACCAAACCAACTAAACAACCAGACCCACACTTCTTCACTGCCAACTCATCAGCCCGTCAGCCGAGACATGTGGCGGCCAGTGGCGGAAGGCAACTCGCGACAGGGGACTTCAGCGAGGTTCACGAACTCAAGCCTGGTAACTCTCCGAGTGCAAACAGCTGACTCAAGTCACGCGAAAATGAATCGTCCAGTTTCGTCTCGTCTCGTGCTTCCACTATTTCCTCCGTCACCTACACTTATCGTGCACCTGGTTACCGCATCATGCATCAAGCGCTGCGTGTGCTGCCTGCTGCTGCCATTTCCCTAATCATCAGTCCCATAGTCAACGCCACACAACACAACACCAAACCATTAGCCCCAGTCCGCTTCCCTGGCCTCTCCATTTTAGAATGTGAATGTTTCACCCCGCAGTTTTAGAATGTGAAGCCCGCACTCAGCGTTTCAGTTGTCGCCCCTGAAATTATCCAACGAGAGCCGGCTAGTTATGGTTCATTCACCGACGGTTCAATCACATTCGCTTTCGCTCCACTCAAGACAGTAACTATCAGGGAAGCCACTATCACAGCCATCCATGTCGGAACCGCAGTCAACTCCTCCAAATAACCCAGGCCACTCACAGTCGCATTCGAATCCTCTGTGTCGCCACACTGGTAGTGGTATCATGCGGGGGAGTTTCGATATTTCTAGAAAATCAGCTTTCTTGATTTCCCTCTTCCTTCTGTCCGCTAAATTCGACCGTTGCGTGTCCGCACCTCGAGAATCCGTCCTGGAGAGACCGGAGACTGAACCGATTTTCAACGCTCCTTCTGAAGCACCTCAGAATAAACTAGTTCGAAGCAGGGTTCTAGAGAGGCGAGCAGATGAAGCACAGCAAACGTCGCAGCAGATACAGCCGTTAAAAAATCCGCAATGGACGCCGCAGACAGCGCAGGGTCAGGAGAATGAGCTGGTACAGAAGAACATTCGTAATAACGTGGC